TTTTTTTTTTTTTTTAATTAAATCTTAAAGCTAATTGAAATGAACTGCTCATGGAGAGCAAACCCTTCAGAGTAGTTTTGGTGTAACAGTGGTCAATCTGGGAAAGTGTTCCAAGTGGTGAGCTTTGCTGTTCATTAGGTGCGTTAATAACAGCTGCTGTGCTATTTTCTCTTCGTCAGATTATAAGGTGAGTGACTACATAATGAATTATTCCATTTTTCGATTTTTAAGTAGGAAGCCTTACTTATTTTCACCCAATAATTTCATAAATCATTTCAGTCTCAAGCGCAGTGCAGGAAATTGCGTTCGTAACTTTGCAGGAGAACTAATGGGTTAGGGCAAGCGAAATTAATAATCATGGAGAGCTCTGAAAGACGGTCATTTTGATATCAAAGGCCGAATCACGGTCCTGCTGTCCTATTTAAGGCGATTGAGAAAAGGTTCTGTAGGGAAAATTGTTGTAAGCGGCAGCAGCCGCCAGAGAGCGCTGCGGGCCCATCCGTGTTATCCCAGTGCTGGAGTGCGGGTGGCTTTTTTTTTCCCTGGATCACAGCCTGGTGTGTAGCTGATCCTAATAACTGTGTTTAGTCTCTTTAAGTACAATATACAGTACAATATACAATACACATCCAGGCAATGGATGTGGTAGAGAGTCACAAGTGGGAGCGGCAAATTAGGGTAATTTGTGCCTCCCTTTGCAAAGAAAGGCTGATTTCCTAAGGTGCAGTTGTTTGCTGAGCCTTATTTTGGGAGTTATCTTTGTCTCTGAGTTGAGTTACTAACTGTGCTGCTGTCGGGATCATCTGATATTAATGCTGACTTTGCCCTTTCTTAATCATGTTGCTGCTCAAAAGTAATTGTCTCTGGTTTTGGATAAAATTTTATGAGGCTTGCATTGAAAGGAACAAAATCAAACAGGAAACCACCGTCTGATTTTCAAGCTTTGCCAAACACATCTGTGTAAACTAAGTATAAATTTACTGGAGGGGAAACTTGGATAATAAGCTGTAGAGAGCAGAGATCTTAGAATAGTTCTGTGATGTATCACAGTAGTTCAGCCTTCAA